GACAGCATAATTAATATTGTATTGTAGTAAATTGAACTATTTTTTTTCTAACTTTTGCCGTCTCTTTCCTTCCTAATTTATATTATTTTTTCTTGTCGAAAGTCCGGGAACGCTCTTGAGAACGCTCGTAACAGAACGATCGCGCCTAATATTATGGCTCTAACATCGCGCGTTATGAAACAATATTGAGATTAAATCAATAATTCCTATTCTCTTCTCTCGAATAAAATAAGATTGACTTAATATCTTGAGACAGGAATATATAAATTTAAGCTTATATATTCTTGCGTTTAGACTAATCTTTACGCGACGTTATAAGTTATAATACAAGAATAATTTTTTTAGTTTGTTGTACATATACAATATGGACTCAAATATAAGACACTAATATATTTTAAATGACTTATTTATCTTCAGAAAAGTTTAATTGTTTATATTACTTATAATGTTTTATTACATATAATCTTTAACATAAAAAAATAGAAATAAAAAAAGATTAATTTTTTTTTACATTATTTTTGTTAAGCTCTTAATAAAATATACTGAAACAATATGTACAATCAGAATTTGAGTAAATAAATTGTTTATATTGAAAGATCATTATTATGAGTATCTACGCAGATTGATAAAAAGAAGAACAGACATAGATTTAAGTGTTATTTTAAAAAGGAAATACATTTTACTATCTATAATTTACTGTCTATCTAATACAAAAGCTAACTATCTGTAAATCCAAATACTTCTAAAAAAATATCGAGAGAAATCAGGGATCACTACATTTTCTATAATAATTAATCTAATAATTATCTAAAATAAATTTTAAATTTTCATGTACATTTGTTTAAATTAGACTTTAAGAAAAATTTATACAAACAATAATCAATAGTTACTTTATTGCATAATAATAACGCAACGAGCGCTCGGAGACGCGATGATGAGGGACGAAGACTTCAAAGCTCATCATGCTTCGGCCCACTGAACTCGTCGTGGGAGATGAAGCCGTTCTTGTCCTTATCCTCGAGCTGGAAGATCTCTTCCACGAGCTTATCGTGATCGGCCAGCATTTTTTTCACGGCTTCATTTTCACTAGCGCTAGCCTGCTCGGCTTCTATCACCTGTTTCCGCAAGTAATCGCTTACCTGCGAACAAAAAAATTCACCGTACCGATTAACTAAAACAGATGCATAGGAAATAGCGTGATTGTAGCGTGTCGAGTGGCAAGACACGAGTAACACCATTCAATAGTTTCGAGCATGTATGGCTCACGTTATCTCGCAATTTTTTTTACGAATTTATCTTCGGATCTCTATCCCCTTTCAGTCATTAGAGATCCGAGTTTGTAAAAGGGTGAGTTTGTAGAGTACTCCGGGGCATGCGGGGTACGGAGCGTAAGCTTATAGGGGAGGTGGGGTCGCCGGCGCGGCGGGGTGGCGAGGGATATAAAACTTTTTGCGCCGCAGTAGCAGACACGTTGCAAATTTAAATATTTGTTTCCAAATATAATAAACGTTAAACGTTATATATTTCGTATTTGCCTAATTTTGATGTATTGTATAGAAGAATACTGATGGTATATTTAAAAAGCAGAAGCCCCAGAATCTCTGCAAATAAAATTTTTATTAAAAAACCGCAGTTCGACCTCGTCATTTAGTTTATCTATCTAGAGAAGCGCATTCACTTTTTGGCGTATAACTTTTATAAACTACAAGAAATAGAGAAACATGTTTATAATAAAAGTTCATTAATAATAAAAAAACTTAAAAAAAATTAAAAAAGATATGGAAAAAACGTTTTCGGTCAGTTTGTTTAAATTTGTAATATATATATATGTCGTAGTTTTTGTATTCCTAGTGAAAAGTCTCAAAGTCGTCAATTGTCTACGATCAGTTTCTGAATTATAAGCATTTAAAAATCTCCTAGGCTGCCGTCATAGCGCGCAGCTGAAAACATAGCTCTATTTTCGTTTGATATTCGATGTGCAACGAAGACAGAAGATGCTTGCGGGCCGCAACTCTACACAAAAACCGTTCGTACGTTCGTACGAGTTTGCACTTGTGTAGAGTAAACTCGGGTAAGATGGCCATAGTTTTTTAAAATGCAATAAACATACATTTATTTTTGTTATATTTTAACAGTGTTTGGTATATTCCTGAAGCTTAAAGTACGTAAAACTATCGAAATTAAAAAGAAAACATTTAACATAAATTTTATATTATCAAAATATTACAACGTATGCATTGGCCATCTTATCTGACTTTTAAGAAAAAGATGGCCATAGCAGAAAAGATAACCATAGTATTTTTAAATAAATAATAAAAAATAGAAATACAAATTATAGGTCAAATTACAATTTACATAGCTT